CTAAGAATAAGAATGATCCATGCAGACTGAGAAGCAATAGCCAAGGAGAGAGGAGGGAACAAGAGAGTACAGCGTAATGGAAACAGGAGGAGCGTTTCAAACAGGAAGTGTACTATGTGTCAAATTAAATTTTGGAATTGCCGATAGAGAAAGGTCATTCATAACCTTGAAAACAGTAATTTCTGTGGATGAGTGAAGAAGAAAGCTCAATGGGAGTAGGTAGAAAAGAAACTGTGGAAAAAAGATAGATCATAAAAAAGGGAAACGTGAATGACTAAGAAGTATAAAATGAGATGATCAACTTCAACAGTAATTAGAAAAACTGCAAATTAAGCCAACAATGAGACCCTACTTTGTACCCTATGGATTGGTGAAAAAAATATTTTTTTAAATAGCTCTTTCTAGTAAGTGTTAGGAAAGCAGGAACCTTCATTCGGTGATGTGGGAAGATAGCAGGTCCCTCCATCCTGGAACCATTTAACATTACTTAATTATGTGTATGCTTATGACCTCATGAGTTCACTCTGAGGTCATCCTGAAGAAAAATTCCACTATAAGTACACAAGAAAATGAATAAAAAGTTTTTATTGCAGGATCACTTGTAGTGACACAAAGTTGCAAGCAACCTAGGTTTGTCACTGTAGGTGTAGATAGATCAGTAAAATGTGGTATATGCACACAATTAAATGTTCCATAGCAGTCAGAAAGGAATGAATCGTATCTATTGCGTAGCTACATAGATGGGTCTCAAAAAACATAATGTGTAGTGAAAAAAAATTAAGAATTAAAATGAGATTTATTTGTGCAGTTTTTTGAACACCTATAAAAAGTGCTATTTATTCACACACAAGCAGGTTAGAAGGGATACATTAAATTTATAAATGTGAGTGCCCTCTAGAATGGATTATTCCCAAATGCAAACATGTCCCAATATTTTAAAACAAAAACAGAATCAACATCCCTCTTTGTTACTATATCCCCCCTCTAGCTACAATTGAATTTCTATGCCCCCATCACAGAATCGAAGGTGCTGTCGTTCGTTACAGTCTCGAGCTCACCCATCCCCACCAAGCTCTGTCCCTTGTTTTCTTTTGTACCTTGAACATGCAGAACTGAGTTGATTAGACTCAGTGCAGGACATGCTGTCATCCTTGACATGTACAAGCAAAACCCCACTCTAAACAAAGTATTTGTAAGGTATGTCAAACACAAAATACAAAGAATACTTTAACAAATGTGTGACATCATCCATATTTAACTAGTTTTAACATTTTGCCATAACTACTCTGTAGATTGTTAAAGGAAAATGCACAGTTAAAACCTTCATTTTCCCTCTTCCCCATACAAAGATAACCACTGGTGACCCTGGCCCCAGCGGGTTCCTCAAGGGGACAAGTGATGCGATTCAGAGCAGAAGCCGGGAGGGTGTTTCTACCACCACCAGTGATAATAGCTAGCAGTGGCCGGTTCTCCTTAGGTGCCCGATGCTCTTCTCCTCTCATGTATTGAGTCACTTCATTCTCAGAACAATCCTTTACCATGATAACCATTTTATAGGTAGGAAACTCAAGTGCCTGAATTCTCATGGCCGGTAGGAAGCAGAGCCAGAATTTGACGTAAGGCATTCTGGCTTATTAAAGTTCATGCACCACAGCTCTGTTACTGTCTTAGGAGTGTATTAAAAGAGTAGGGAGCTTTTGTTTTTCCTTGTCTTCAATTATTTCCACCATTTAATGTGTATATTATTGTGGAGCCTTCAATTGCTCATTGGAGAAAATTCCCCTGGATCTGGATCTCTGGGTGCCAGCCCTTCTGCCTGCTTGTCTTTCTATTCTGCTGCTTGAACCCGAAATCATTTCCTTCCATATAGCACTTTGACCCAGATTTTTTATTTTTAATGTCCAGGAAGTTTTAAGCTTGAAAAATCTCCCCACTGTAAAGATTTTCTTTGTTGTTGTTTTTTAAACGTTATACTAACTTAATATACCCTCCAAATGACTGCAATGTTTTATATTTTCCTATAAAATAACTCTGAATACCTTTTGTATTTGTAGGTTCTAGAAACCTTTCAGAATAACAGGATTCTCTTAAGTGACTAATTACCCCAAATCTGATGCCTCCGTAATGCTATCCAGCAAGCAGCTGGCTTTGTATGAAGAGAGGCTAAGAGCTCTTTTTGTCTTGTTCATTGAAAATCATTTGCTTATTTAATATCTGCAAAGAGCGCAGTCCCATCACAGTAGAGTTTGATGTTGTAAATTTTGGATTGTTTCCATGGGTTCCGCCTTACATCTGCATGGTGTTTAAAGCCAATGCTTCCTTTCTTCTTGTAGGCATTCAGGGCCTTTTGCCTCATAATCCAATGTCATGCTGAATGACAGAAAATTGAAGTTGAATTTATTTAACTATAGAGGAGGACTGCATAGAACAATACACTTACTTAAGAACTCCTTGCCTCAGGAACTGAAGGAGCTGTCTAGTGCAGGTGGCTTAATCTCTCGGCTGCTTATCCTAACTGTGTTCCTTTATTTATAAAGGACAGGAACTGGGCACTCCGCTTCCAAAAACAAAAGGAACCCTACCAGTCTACCAGAACCAATTATAAACCAATAGGATGCTTAACGCCTCTTTCAGAACAGTAAACATATGGCCTGTGTGTTTTAAAAACAGTTCTTAGCCCTCCTTTATTAGAGAAAATATGACCAAAAGTAAAAAAAAAGAAAACAGCTGTGAAAATATATTCATCAACCCCTAATTATACACTGGTAGGCTGTTTACATTATGGATTATTCATTATGAATAATTTTTCAATTCTCTGTGATATCTTCTCTGCTCATATAAAATGATTTATTTGTTGACTTTACTTGTATTTCCTGTTTCTATTTACTTCATATGACAGTCTTCAGAGGTTTCTGTGTTTTGAAGTAAAACGTTTATTTGCTTGCCTTATTTTTACTCAGAGATTCTATTAAAACGTAGTGAATAGCCTGAAGGAAGTGGCTTCTCTACTCATTGGGTGTTGTGGATTAAACACTAAGCTGTCTATGCTTATCTTGAAATAGGGAGACAGGGAGATTTTCGGTGGGTATGGAGAGAGATTAATACTGGAGAGTATAATAGCTTTTCCTTCCTTGAGTTGGACATGATTGTGTAGTTTCTTTTCCATTAAACCCGGTAAATTCTGGAACTGTGATGCACAAGTATATTCAAATGTGAGCCCAAGGATTATTCCAGTGCCATAAAAATGGTTCTGAATTAGCTGCCAGTGTTACTGTCTGCTATTCTAATTATGAGGTAATAGAGAATTGCATAAAATTCACATATCGAGTATCAATTCTTTGGAACTTTTAAGATAATCAATTCTCCCTCTTAACAATAGCTGCATTTAGAAGTAATAACTTAAAATTTGTCTCATGGGCTCAGACCCATGCTTCATCTAGTTTAAGATTATATCCTGACAGAAGCACCAAGGGACATTTATCAGGAAGTCATAATTGTTGTCTCTGATTCTAGTCTCATAAACTTGGTCCTAATGACACCATTTTGTCTTAATATCTTCCATTAAGTATAATATGTTCATTTTTAAACTTTCAAAAATTAAAATATAAACCACCTCTTGGAGTTAGAAGTTTCACTGATTTATTCCATATTTTACATAAAGTAGTATTTTTCATTTGTCTTAAATATACCTCTTTAAAGATTTTGGAATGTGCTAAGCAAATCTATACCCACTCTTCCCACACTTTCAAGGACAAATATCGTGTCCCCCTCTAGCTTTGATATTTTGAATCAACGTAAGAGAGTTGGAAAAATAAGGCCTGTGGAATGAGGCCAACCCAAGTTTGCATCACAAGATCACTTCTAACCAGCTATGTGACCTTTGATAAGTTAGCTAATTTCTCTGATCCTCAGAGTTTTGACTGTGAGTGCAATGGTGTAGGGGAAGCACTCTGCACTGTGCCCGGACATGGTGCACCACCAACAAGCACCAGCCTCCTTCCCTGTGTCCTCTTCAGAGGGTGGGCCCCAATCTTTCAGCTGTGCCCATGCAAATAGAACCCTTCTGCAGGCCCATGAACTTAATAACGAGGAAACACATTGTGCAACATGCATGAGATTGCCTTGTTTCCAAATCGAGGTTATACTAAAAAATGATTTTAAAGTTCATTTTTTAAGATATGTTATTAAAACACCTAAGAAGAAGTTACATAGAAACATTATCACTCCAGCATTTTAAATATTTTTTTCACAGAAACCAGTTTGTCTGTTTAAGTTTGTTTTTCACTTTATTCCCAAAAGGAGCGCTAACTGGGGTTGTCACTGAGGCTGGGATCCAGATCACAGTTTCCACACACAGGCCGATGGCTGGACTCAGATCATTGAAGCATTTGTTCTTTCTGCTTTAGTTTCAGTTCTGCATCCATACATATTAGACATGGCTGTTGGAATAAACTTCCTTAAACACTGTTTGAATTCCACAGTTCAAGACGCTTTAGAAGCCAATTTCTTGCTTGCATTTTCTTGCCTTTGGAAGTCATTAAAACGCCTATTAGATGCTGCTGAGAGTTAACAAATTCTTTACCTGGAGCCTTGCACATGGTTTGTGTGTTTCAGTTCTCAGCAAAACTTTGCAGATCCAGGCCTCAAGAGCTAGCTTAGGCAGTCAGGTGTTTCACAAGTAAGCCACATGATCAGAAATTCATATGTGTGTTGGCTACATTAATTTCCTTTGAAAACATTAGTAAAACTTAGCCTATTAGCTGTTTTAAAATAAACATGATGTTGGGGCAAAAAGAGGCCAATAAGCTGGATGTCAAAACCCATGGGGTTTCAGAGTAGGGGACAAGCTGTGTGCGGTCGGTCCTCCAGGCGAAGAGGAATGAACAGTTGCATTATTCTTTGGGAGTTGAGCGGCAACTCCAAAAGAATGTGGTTTACTCTATGACACTATCTGGACACTTAAAATTTCCTAATCAGATGAATACATTGTGTCATTTCAGATTTACAATGTCAAGTAGAGGCACTTGGGCTAAAACTTCAGAAGGCACTGACTGAGCTGGACAACTGTAAAGAAAAGCTCATGTAAGATGGTGAACTTTAAACCACCTGTAAGAGTTTAGAAAGATCCCCAGTGTTCCCTGTGGCTCCTCTGGCAGTGCTTCAGCTGTGTGGGTATGGTCTCCTGCTGCTTTTCTTGGCTACTTTTCTGCCCTAGATTGTATATTGAAGGACCTGTAAAACATTTTTAAATACATGAAATGTTTCTTTCCCTCAGTAAGAAATTTAGCTATCCGTGTATTAAAGCTTTCCCTAGTTGTTCAAATTAGTAACTTAATGTGAAATAGTCTCTGAACTTTTTCTCTATCGTTGTCTTTATGGTATCTGCCCAGAAGAAACAACATTAAAGTTGTTTCTTAAAATTATCAGTTTTAGGTTCAAAAAGATAATTGAAAATTCTTGCAGTGTTGGAATACTTATGTTTTATATAAGTAATAAATAAAATACTTACAGACAAATGATAAGAAAATGCCCTTGCAAAATATCCAGAGCACTATTTCTTTTAAAAAATGAAGGAATATGTTCACTACAGCATTATTTACGATAGCCAAGATTTGGAAGCAGCCCAAGTGCCCGTCAGTAGACAAGTGGATAAAAAGGCTGTGGTACATTTATACAATGGAATACTACTCTGCCATAAAAAAGAAGACAATCTTACCCTTTGCAACAGCATGAATGGACCTGGAGAGTCTTATGCTAAGTGAAATAAACCAGTCAGAGAAAGACAAGTACCATATGATTTCGCTCATATGTGGAATCTAATGAACAATGTAAACTAACAAACAAAATAGAAATAGACTCAGATAAAGAGAATAAACTAGCAACTGTTAGAGGGGAGGGGGTTGGAGGGCTTGGTGAAAAAGGTGATGGGATTAAGCAAAAACAAAAACAAACTCACAGACACAGACAACAGCGTGGTGATTGCCAGAGGGAAGAGGGTGGGGGAGGTAGAGAGGGCAAAGGAGGGGTAAATGGTGATGGGCGGAGACCAGACTGGGGTGTCGGACACACAGTGCAATATACTATGATGTGTTATAGAACTGTAGACCTGAAACCTATATAACGTTGTTAACCAATGTCACCCAAATCAATAAATGTAAAAAAATCTTTAAAGAAATGAATTTCAGAGATTTCAGAAAAATACATTGCAGTATAAATATAGCATATCTATAGTTATAACGCTAAAATAGAATTTATATAATCTTTTAGAGTAAGTAAATTTTTTTACTTTGTGGTAGATAATATGGTAACTCTGGTTTTCAGTTCCTATATTTTAGAAGGGTGAACCTTATAAGAAATATAAATATTTAGAATGCTTAGCAACCAAATGTTGCATTGACCATGAATTACTTCTAATAACAGTGTTAAAACACTCAATAAAATGAGTATAGAAGGAAAGTACCTCAACATAATAAGGCCATATAAGACAAACCCACAGCTAATATACTTGGTAGTGAAAAACTGAAAGCTTTTCCTCTAAGATCAGGAGCAAGAGAAGGGCGCCCACTCTCAGCACTTACTCAGGGCAGCCTTGGCCATCGGGCAAGAGAAAGAAATGAAAGGCCTCAACTGGGAAGGAAGAAGTAAATGTCCCTTTTTGCAGATGACATGATTCTTTATATAGAAAACCCGAAAGACTCCACCAAAACCTATTAGAAACAATAAACAAATACAGTAAAGTTGTAGGATACAAAATTAGTGTAGAAAAATCCACTGCTTTCCTGTAGAGTAACAATGAAATTTCAGAAAAAGAAATGAGAAAAAAAACCCACAGCTCCTTTTGCAATTGCAACAAAAAGGACAAGATACCTGGGAATAAAGTTAACAAAGGATGTGAAGGACCCATTTACTGGAAGTTACAAGGCATTGTTAAGAGACACTGAAAAAGACACAGTGGATGGAAAGATACTTGGTGTTCATGGATCGGGAGAATCAACATAGTTTAAATGTCCCTGTCACCCGAAGCAATGTACACACTCAATGTAATCCCCATTAATAAGATTTTTCATAGCACAAGGAAGAACAAATTCCAAAAGTGCCCTATCAAATTAATGTGTACTTGGATTATTTATAGCAAAATAATTTGGTTTTGTAAAACAAGAAAAACCAAATATTTGTACTTTCTAATATTGTGGTTAATAGGACAGTAAGTACATAGTTCAGTTTCTGCGTATGGTTGCTGAGGGTGAGGGAATGAGTGGCTCACTAGGTTCAGGAAGTAATTTTCTGGGTAGGAAGAAACACAAAAAAGAGGAGCAAGATAGTGATGGCCAGAAAAAAAAATCATCGCTCCCACCCCCTGGTAACCTCTGGGAGGGCTTTGGCCATGTGGATGCCGCACGTGGAGGCGACGCTCGTCAGGCCAGAGCCCCTGCGTGACTGGCCTCTTGGAGCTCAAGAAGTGACAAGGAAACAGCCCAGGAGCAGAGAGGTAGGGCTGGCACCTACCAGCTAAAATGGGGTTTGTGAACACACCGAAACTCAGTAGATCGAGCAGAGTCCTGGCAAGTTAGGAGAGAAGCTAGGCCAGAAATCAGCTGCCGAGGGAAAGGAACAGTCATCGGCTGGGATGCGACCTGGCTGCTACCGAGCAAGTGCGCGCAGGAGCCTCTCTGCAGGCCAGGCGCCCGCCCGTCTAGTATGAACACAAGCTGTGGTGGTGTTTTTTTGTTAATTGTATTTCTAACATAAGTTATAATATGAGTGCTCAGAAACAGTAAGAAAGAGAGGAGATTCAAGTTGGAGAGAGAAATCTACCGCCTCACTAACGTCCATCAGATGAATTACCTGGAGGAAATCACTCTACAGTTGCACAAATGGCAGAGGCTCTTATTTCCGTTTATAAAGCGGGTGCTTCCTGTCTGTTTAAGAACTTCTTAAAATTAGAAAATAGGCACAGTATCCACTTTTAGAAAATGTGACTTATCAAAGATAGAGCCATTTAAATGGCCCCAACTGCTGGAGCCCCTTCTCCATGCTGGCTGTTCCAGCATTTCCATCTCTGAGCTGTCTACCTTCCTTTACTAAGGGAGGAAGCCGTAGGGTGGGTGTTTAGGATCAGAGCCTAGGACTGCTCAGGGCTCTCAGAGCCCAGGGGGTCCTCAGTAATATACAAGTACTATTTTATTTGTAGGCGAAAACCAAATTTGTAACTTGGCCATTGTTTTATGATAAATTAAGTTGGAAGTCAAAGTAATTCACTCATAAACTTTGATATACAATTTGTTAATGAATTGGATGTTTACTCTGTGTATCTAAACCTTCTGAACTTCTAGAAATTGGAAGGTGCTATAAAATCAGGTTTTTTACCCTCATTGTTTGTGAGGGATGGGGTGGGAATGGGTTTCACATATCCAATGTAAGGTGCTCTTTTGTTTTTTAAAGATTTTTAAATGTTTTGATATAAGCTTTGTGAATTTTTACTTAAGGGGGAGAGGCAGTTTTTAAGTGGATGAACTTGAGGTTCCTTCTTTCCTAAGGTATAGAAGAAAATATTTCCAAGGTCTATAAGAACTTGTTACATATTTTACCAGTTAGGATGCTTTGGGCTTCAAGTAACAGAGGTGGAGTAGTTTCAAGTTTAGTCAGTCCAGCAGCTCAGCAGTATCTCCATGGATCTTGATGTTCCTTCTGTCTTCATCCTGCGCCCTCAGCACTGGCTTCACCCCAAGGCTAGGTCCCTTGCGACCATGAAGTAAGTACCTGCAGTTCCAGGTACCACATCCAAATGTAACCACCCCAGAGGCAGGAAGGGCCTGTTTTTCTGGTGTCTCCTTAAAGGTGAGAAAAAAAATTTCCTAGCAGCCACCAAACAGCGCTCTCTTTACATCTTGTTGGCTAGGACTCTTTTTCACACCCTCTTCTAAAGGACTCACTGGCAAGGGGGAGGAGACAGCCACAGTTGGTTTAGACCAAGCAGGATTTATCCTGAGAGCAGATTATAATGGGGCTCTGCCCACCGGAAGGAAGCTCTAGTGCATATTCAGTAGGTAAACAGTAGTGTTTGCAGAAGTGAAGTGTTAATAATGCTCTGAATAGGTGGTGATGAGATTTTCTATAAATTTTATTTGTGAGTGTCATAATATCTAGATTAATTTGGGGAAGACCTCCCAGAAGTAACAAAAAATCTGGATGCTATAAAATGCAACTTTATTACCTTTAAAAATATATATGTATATATTTAGCTTAGAAGTGTACTTCAGGGCCAACATAATAAGACTAACAAGAAAGGCTGCTATAGATGGTGAGAAATTTTTAGGAATTCCTGAAAGAATACATAGAAAGGATTACAAAAAGGTCAACTCTGTGGAGGAATAAAAGAGAGGAAACCCAATTGTGTGGAGGGCTTACAACACGCAGGACATCACTTGGAATCAGTTAACACAAAAAAGAAGGGAGTAGGATCTGGCAAGTCATCAGAACAGTGGTTCTAACTCCAGTCTGGGGAAGGATTCTGGGGGGCTTTTTGAATCTATATATTACTGTATGACCTTCCCCACAGACTCAACCCCAGGATCAGTTTCTGGGCTCCATTCCCACGCATAGTCTGATTTTACATTTGGATCTGGGGTGGCTCTGAGCAATCTGCATTTTTTATGCACTCCCCACTTGATTCAGATGCAGGTGGTCCAACAAAGCCCACTCTGGGGAACTATTTTTGGAACATTGAAGCCAATGGCCCCTCACCAAGCCCCTCTGATCAACAGGCCCTGTGGGAAACAGCATTGGTGAGGCCTCTGCACCCAGAATACAGCAATGAGTATGGGGACTGGAGATGGGAAGCCTGGCAGCTACTAAACCCTGGGAAAGGCTGGGGTCCCCACATCCCAAGACAAACCTTCAGTGCCCCCACCATTCCCTGTCCCTTCATCACAACCTTCAGAAACAACCTAGGGCAAAAATAAACAGCAAAGCAGACAAGTAAACAGAGAATCTACACGCTGAGGATGAACATCCAACCAAAGGTTATGAGAAAAACCTCCCTCCCAGCATCCCCCCCAAAAAAAAAACAGTGGCTCTGAACT